TTCTAATTGGTCCTTTTTCATATCCTTGAGGGTCTCACTATATTTCTTGGAGGTTTCTAGAAGATTATTGAGTAGCCTTATAAACCATGGTTTTGAACTCTATATCCAGTATTTTGCTTTCCTCCATTTCTTTCATTTGTGACCTGTTTCTTTGTCTCTGCATTTTGGCTGCTTCCCTGTGTTGATAGAATGGCTTTGTGTGCTAGGTGTCCTATAGGGCCCAGTGGCTCAGTCTCCCTAATTACCTGAGGTGGACACTCTTGGTGCACCCCTTTGTGGGCTTTGTGCACAGTCTTGTTGTAGTTAAGCCTTGATTGCTGTTGGTAACACTGATAGGAATTGACCTCCAGGTCAATTGGCTGTGAGGACCAGTTGTGTCTACAATGGGAGAACTTCTGTGCTGAAGACACTCTTATGGGGCAGGACTTGCTTCAGTGGGGCTTTGGCGCTCACTGAGTCTGCCCCCTGAGTGTGTCTCTTATGGATGTGAAGAGTTGTTATCTGGATGGTCTCACTCTGACCACTGGGTAGACTGGCTCTTGGATCTCCAAGGGGGTGCAAAGACACCAATGCCTGATGCCACCCAGCAGGAGCTACAGAGAGATCTGTAGATTCTTCCTCATTGTTTGGGGTTTGGAGGTGCCCAGATGAGGCGCAGCTGTGAAGTAATGCAGGCTGCTGACGAGCCTTAGGCCTTTTGGAAGAACTGGGTTTCTCTGACCCAACTGCAGTTTGATAGGTTTTTAGGCAGAGAAAGGCCAGGCCATTAGTATGCAAAAGCCTCTGCACACAGCTTGAGTGGGGTTGTAAATTGGGTGGGACGTGGTCTCAGGGAGTCACGGGGCGGTGCAAATAGCAATGGTTACCTGCCATCAGCCCTCCCCCGATAGGTCCCTGGGTCTCTCTGTCCCTCAGCCTCGTGTAGGAACAGTGAACGCTGCAAGCACCTCTGCCAGAAAACTGCCCTCACGTTCCGGCCCAATGCCAGACAGTACAGTTTCTTTCCATATGATTCTGGGCCCCCAGATTCTCACCCAGAACTGGATTTCAGAGCAGTCGAGAGCTTGTATCTCCCTCCCGGTTGAAAAAAACAACAGCGTACCCAGCTGCCAGACCCTTTTGCACGCGCCTCCGTACCTCCACACCTCTCCACCTCCTATTGGACTCAATGCGCTTTTCTCTTTCCTTCTAGTTGTAGAATTTACACTCAGCCAGCCTTCCCGTGGTTCTGGATGCTATTCGTTTTGTCTTTTAGTTGTAGTTTTAATGTGGTTGTACGCGGCAGCAAGTTCAGGTATTTACTTATGCTGCCATCTTGGTTGTCCACCATTATCACATTTTTATGATTATAAATGATACTGTTATGAACATCTTTGTACTATTTAATTTTGAATACTTGTGCAAGGGTTTCTGTAGACTAAATTTCTGGACTAGAATTCCTCGATCAAAAGAACTTGATAGAGTCCGACTGGCATAGCTCAGTGGTTGAGCATCGATCTATGAACCGGGAGGTCACGGTTCGATTCCTGGTCAGGGCACATGCCTGGTTGCGGGCTGGATTCCCTGTGTGGGGCATGTAGGAGGTGGCCAATCGATGATTCCCTCTCATCATTGCTGTTTCTATCTCCCCCTTTCCCTTCCTGTCTCTGAAATAAATAAAAATATTTTTTTTAAAAAGAAGAAATTGATAGACACTGCCAAATTAAAGTTCTGATTTGAAGAATAGGTATATACCTATTTATCCCATATAATAAAAGCCTAATATGCTAAGTGTTTGGTTGTCTGGTCGTCCGTTCAACCAGTCAAAGCATAATATGCTAATGATAGGCTAATGCCAGTCAACCGTTCATTATAATGTGCACTGACCACTAGGGAGCAGATAGTCGACCATTCGCTATGATTTGCACTGACCACCAGGAGGCAGATGCTCTGACCAGTAGGTTAGCTTGCTGCTGGGGATCAGGACTGAGTGAGAAGGACCGGACATGCCCTGGAGTCCTCCTGCAGTTCTTCCCTGGCTGGACAACCTCCTGATTCCCTCCCCAGCCCCGGTTGTGCACCGGTGGGGGCGGGGGTCCCTTGGCCTGGCCTGTGCTCTCTCGCAATCCTGGACCCCTCGGGTAATGTTGTAGAGCCGGTTTCTGCCTGATCCTGCAGGCCAGGCCAAGGGACCTCACTGGTGCACGAATTCGTGCACTGGGCCTCTAGAGTGTGTGTGTGTGTGTGTGTGTGTGTGTGTGTGTGTGTATGTATATATACAAGTATGGGCATTTTCTAGATGAAGGTATTGGAGAGTATACACATACATACTTAGACACACATAAGAGTAACTGAATCGCCGTTAAGACTGTTTACTTTTCTTTTTAACCCTCACCCAAGGATATGCTTATTGAGTTTAGATTGGGGAAGGGAAGGAGACGGAGAGAGAGAAATATCGATTCGTTGCCTCCCATATGCACCCTGACTAGGGATTAAACCTGCAACCTAGGTATGTGCCCTGACAGGGAATTGAACCCACGACCTTTTGGTGTATGAGATGATGCTCCAACCAACTGAGCCACTGGCCAGGGCAGGGCTATTTACTTTATCAATCTACTGGGCCTGCTGCATAGTGGGCTCTGCCAAGGGAGCAGACTGTGCTCCAGTAGCTCCATTGGGTTTCTAATGGGATGTATAAGCCCCAGTCAAAAAATTTCATAAATTTGACTATGGAATCATCATTTATTAAATTTCAGCTGAATATTACTGATTAAACTGTAGATAGCATGTCCCTGCCTCCATTCTCTCCTCCATGTTACAGAAAACTGGTTAGAAAATAACATAACATCCTTAGAATTGCAGCTTCCAGACAGGAAAAATTGGTACCAGTTAAGATGGGATAACAGCTTCAAAGATAACTCGCTCATTGTATCTGAGCAAATAGATGGTGTGGTAGCCTGCCCATGTGAACTGTGAGCAAGATGAAAAAAATGGCATGGCAACCCTAAAAACACACTATAGAAAAAGAAGAAAAAGGCATGCAGAAGACAAAGAATCCAGCTTAGAAGAAAATACTACACACAAAGCAAAAACAAACAAACAAAAATACATAGTTTACCATAGAAAAATGTTCTTAAGGATATGAATTTAATTAAATAAGAGCTCAAAGATGAGATAACGAAACAAAATGAGGTGGAGATTCCAAATTAATGAAATAAATTGAGAATCCAAACCACACTATTACAAATCATAAGTTAGAAACATAGACAAATTAGAAAATCAAGTTCCAGCCATGGAGAAAAGATTTGAGCTAATCAAAATAAATGAGAGGTGGAGAGAGGGTTTGGAAGAACAAAGCAGTTCAAGAAGAAATAATAAATATAGGGAACAGACAAAGGAAATAAACTTAAGATGAGTTAGTGCACCTAAAATGTAAAACAAAAAATAACTCAAAGAAAAGGTAGAAATAGTTTTCCCAAATGAAGGAATTACTCAGTTTATATATTAAGAGGCTCACTATATCCTATATAATAAAAGCCTAATTTACTAAGTGTCTGGTCATCTTGTTGGCCCTTCCAACTAATCAAAGTGTAATATGCTAATGATATGCTAAGGCTGCTCAACCACTTGCTATGGTGTGCACTGACCACCGGGGGCAGACGCTCAACGCAGGAGCTACCCCCGGTGGTCAGTGTGCTCCTACAGGGGGAGCACTGCTCAGCCAGAAGCCAGGCTCATGGCTGGTAAGCGCAGCGGCCTCCGCCTCCGCGGCAGCACTAAGGGTGTCCCATGGAGCGGGCCCAAGCTCTGCTAGTTGGACATCCCCTGAGGGCTCCCGGACTGCAAGAGGGCGCAGACCGGGCTGAAGGACCCCCTCCCCCCTAGTGCACTAATTTCGTGCATGGGGCCTCTACTAAAGAAAATAATTGAATGAATTGGGGTTACAGGATAGAATATATTTATTCATTAATATATTTATAAAAGATTAATATAAGCAATAGGAGTTATACAGTGGGATCTGGGCCAAAAAAACCAAATCTTTAAGTAAAAGAAAATTTCAAGACCTGAGATTGTGGATTAAGAAGGCCCATGTAGCCCTAGCCGGTATGGCTCAATGGATAGAGCGTCGGCCTGCGGACTGAAGGGTCCCAGGTTCGATTCCAGTTAAGGGCACATGCTCGGGTTGTGGGCTTGATCCCCAGTAGGGGGCGTGCAGGAGGCAGCCGATCAGTGATTCTCTCTCATCATTGATGTTTCTCTCTCCCTCTCCCTTCCTCTCTGAAATCAATAAAAAAATATTTTTTAAATAAAGGCCCATGTATTTCCAGCATAATGTATGAGAAGACAGCCACTTCAAGACACATTATTGTGAAATTTTAGATAACCAGTAATAGATGATTCTAAGGGGTTCCAGAGGGGGGCGGTGAGGAAAACATGTTCCCCAGAGAAGTCTAGGAGCCAGAATGACTCTGAACCTCTCAGGTGGGAATCAAAACAATGGAGCAATGCCTTCAAAATCCTGAAGCAAATGATTTCCAAAATTATAGTCATCATTTTAAAACATCTCTAAAATCTATTTTCCATGTACCCTTTCTCAGGAATCTATTGGAGATACTTAAAAAAAAAAAAAAAAGGAAAATAGGAGGAGGAAGTCTTGGAATCTAGAAAACAGGAGACTCAAAATCACCGAGAAGCAAAGGGAATTTACAAGGTGATGGTGTAGCAGTTGCTTCTGGGGAAAGGAACCAGTAGTGATAAGGGCAGGAGGAAGACTTAGATTTCACTGCAAATGCACTCTCATTTTGTCCGACTTATACTGTGTGCATGTGTTAGCTTTTCAACTGAAAAATGCTTTCTTCTTGCCTATTGTTAATAGTTCATGGTAAATATATGTCAATTTGAGGTGCCTATTTTAAATGAACAGAGTATGTTTGCATAGTGTTAATTTGTGCTTCTGTTTGTTAGATTCTGCAGCAGCTAAGATATATACCACCAATAATTTACATGCTTGTGTTTTACAGAGTTACGTCCGTTTGGGAGAATAGTCTCCAGATCACCACAATTTCTAGTTTTCTAGGAACATGGCTTGGAGCCTTTCCTATTCCACTCGATTGGGAAAGGCCATGGCAGGTTGGTTTTAGCTACTTAAAGCTACAAGATAAATGTTTTTACAATCATAAAACTGATGACGCTAACATAGATTTTATTTATTTATTTATTTATGTAAATTGTTTTGTTTAATGAAGTAGCAATGACGGTTCTATCTTTCAGGACGGTTTTGCTTTTTTTCTACATATATAGGTGAATAAACAAGCTTAGTTTAAAAAAAAAAAAAAGCTAGAAGTTGCAGGAATTCCCTATTTTTAACCTTGATATTCATTGCCTTTGTGGCCTTAGAGTCATACTTTTGTTAATGTGATTGATGGCCAAATTATGTTGATCTTGAAATATTTTTTAAAAGCATGTAGCAAAGTAGGTTTTTAAAAGGGGTACATGATATAGATGGAAGCTCATTAACATCAGGTTTTCGACTTCCTATCCCAATAGGATTTGGCTAAATAAGTTAGGTAAAGCACTATGAGATAAGTGTTCTTTTTATCCCCACTTTACAGATGAAGAAACTGGTACCAAGAAGATACGTAATATTTTAAAGTTCACTGGGCTAGTAATGCATATATCATTATTTAATTTTTAATGGCTTAGTAGTATGCCGTTATAGAGTTATTCTAAAATTTATTTAACAAACTCACTATTGGTCTTTTAGGTATTGTCAATATTTTACTATTATAAACAGTGTTATCATAAACATCTTTGACTCTGTATCTTCACAGATTTTCCCAATTATATCCTTAAGATAATTTTCCCTAAATGGAATTGTGCTTTTAAAAATATATTTTTCTTTTTCCAACATGAAGAAAGTTTTTTTCTGATTACAGAGACTGTATATACACTGTATTTAGAAAACTTAAGCAATATTAATAGTTACAAAGAAAGTAAAAATTACTCAATGTCCAGCCACTTAGATGCCTTTAAACTTTGGACTTTAATACTACTATCTCCAAAATGGAATTAAACCAGATAATCAAATCTCTTCTGAGCATACTTATTTCTTAAAAAGCAAAATTGATTGAGATTGTCTTTAAAACAATTTAAAGTTATTTTAAAAATATTTGTACTTATTCCCATCAGATACCAGATAAATGAAGCATTGTTATATTTTAAAATCCTTTTTGTTTTCTCTGGTCTTATTAGGTTAAAAATTTAATATTTGGGAAACATATATTTATTTTCCAGTCACAGATGCCACAGATAATTTTTTCATAAATTGAAGCTAGGGATCATAAGGATTATAACTAAGTGAATTACTACAAATAATGCTAGAGTGAGGGATGAAATTAAAATTATGGATTTAATTGTTGAAGAGTAGCCTGTTTTTAGGTTACTTGGTATTTCTGTTATCAAAGGTATTAAGCAGTGTTTTGGTAGACCAAAATAAAATATTAATTTATATGAATATGCCACATTCCAAACATGGATAAAAAACTATAATACTTAACTGACTTAAAACGGTTTTGTTTATTTTTTTTTTTTAATCCTCACCCAAGGATATTTTTCCATTGATTTTTAGACAGAGTGGAAGAGAGAGGGATAGAGAGAAACATCAATGTGAGAGAAACACAAGGATTGGTTGCCTCCTGCACACACCCTGAACAGGGCCTGGGCTGGGGAGGAGCCTGCCACGGAGGTACGTGCCCTTGACTGGAACTGAACCTGGGACCCCTCGGTCTGCAGGCCGACACTCTATCCACTGAGCCAAACCGTCCAGGGCCAGAACATGGTTTTGGATTTAAAAGGTGGGTTCATTGTAAGGCAGTCCTGTTGACAATGGTCTGCTCGCAGGACTTTCAATGTGAGAGCGAATAGTGCTTTCCAAATTAACTCATTTGCATGATCTTAGCAAGAACCATTTAGCATTACTTTGACAAAAAGTTCCAGACTGGAGACTACACATCTCACCACAGACAGCTGTTCCCAGGTATGCACTGTTAGGCATAGGAGAGTGGTAGAGTATACACGGATCAGTGCAGATTTACAACTAAAGAAATATGTCCACATGGGTAGATCATCTGCATGTACTCCTATATCAGACAATAGCATTTGCTTTAGGAACATCTGGAAAAACATCACAATCAAATTCAGAGGAAAATATGGTCATTTAAAACCAGTAGAAGTGTTAGCAGGCTTTGAAAGATGAATTGTCATGCAAATGCAAATTTGTGATAAGCACAATAAATACATTAAAAAATAGCTTGCGAGGAATTAATTATAACTGGCTGCCTGGGTTTAACCTTCCTTTTTTATCTGAAAGAGCCAGTAATCCTAATGGTTGTTGCTTTATTCTAAGTGTTCTAGGTCCTCTGATCTGCAGATAGGGTGGTTTCCCCATGATATCTGTGATGACATATATCTCTCCAAAAATTATATATTGCAACACATATTTTTAAAAATTTATTTAAAAATATTCTGAATGAAATAATCTTAGTTTGTACCTTAACAGCTTGGTTTATAGTAGAGGCTCAATAAATAGTTATGAATGAATGGAGTCATTCATATGAGACTTAAGAATGACAGATGTCTCCTAGTGGTTGGTGTAGAACCAATTTCTGTACTTACACTTCTTAAACTTATAAAAATGACAACTAGGAGCAGGAATCCCCCCCCCTTTTTAAGGGGAGGGTGCACCTATAATAATCTATAATAATAAAAGGATAACATGCTAATTAGACTGGATATCAAGGACGTCATTTCGTACGTCCTGGATGAAGCCGAGGCCAGAGGGAAGCCCAGGTCCCGGGCGCCTGTGGGCAGCCGGAGGGAAGCCAGCCCAGGTCCTGGGTGCCAGAGGGAAGCCAGTGCCAGCAGCTGGGGGAAGGAAGGCCTACTCTTGCACGAATTTTGTGCATCGGGCCTCTAGTATAGTAATACAGTGAATGAAGTGTGTATTCTCTTGTAAACTTCATACTCTCCAGACATTTCATGTAAAGAATAGCATGTATTAAAAATTACAGCATTGCGAAGGCAAGGGAATAGTTCCTACAGCAGGGTATTAACATTGCTCATGAACAAATTTATTTATTCTAAACTGCTGGTTCTAATTATTACCTAGCAGTGTCAGTTACCTAAGAAATACTTATATTATTTATCACATAAGTTTAATTTTTTCAAGTTAGGACATGTGATATACAAAATTATACCAATGCATTGTACTTTACAACTTTCGTGACAGTTTTAAAATACTATTTTATTAAGTACAATAGCTCCATGCTTTAAGTACAAGAGGTGCTGTTATTCCTGCATTGCACATTGAGAAACTGAGGCTCAGGTGTTCAGTGACCTGACCGGAGTTATACGGACAGGAAGTGGCTGACTTGGCACTGCAGACTCAGATCTTTCTCAGCCCACTGTCCCATGCTCCTTCCCAGAAAAGCAAACTAAAACTCCCAAGTAAAATATGAAGTATTTTTTAAAGTAGCCTAATAATTATTTCAAAACTTTCTGTTGAGTATGTATAACTAGTTTCAACAAAAATCATAATTATATAATCATAATTACCTAATAAATACCTGATCATCACTTTAGGAAATCTGCAGCTTATACCCTGCCAGTCAGTGACATATCAAACTAGCTGTTCCATAGAGTATCAGAAAGTGTGGGTATCACTTTAATGACATTACAAGGTTAAACATCTATTTGTACTTAATATATACTAAATGGACCTATATAATATTGTGCATTTTATAATTAAGTAAAATGTATTAAAATTGTTGACTCTCAAATCACAGAACAACAAACGCCGTCTACAGCACTGAAAATAATCCTTAAAGTGAGGAAACCAAAAATGTAAAGGGTCGTCATATTTCTTTGGCTACTAGAACAGTTAGTAAAAATACTTGTTAGAGCGATGGGGTTCTTAACCAGGAGTCCATAGATGGGCTTCAGAGGCCTGTGAACCCCTGAATTATAGGCACTTTGTATATATATATGATATATCTGGATAGTGTTTGACAAGGAAGCATGAATTCTGTTAGGTGTCATTTTTAAAATTTATTTTTAAAGTACTTAAAATTTGGGCAGGACCTTGTTTTTTAAATAGGAGCAGCTTTAGAAATCTCAGCTGTAAAGATTTGGGGAATGATGACTTTCTGTATTGTAAAAACTTATACAGGATGGGGCAAAAGTAGGTTTACAGTTGTGAGTTCATGAAAGTTTATTATGTTATTTATTCATTATTGTATTATTTTCCATACAAACAACTGTAAACCTACTTTTTCCCCATGCTGTATGTACCCATTAGGAATATGAACTAAAAGATTATCATCAAGTATAGCTCACATGTATTAGTCACTTTGTACTGTGTGACAGGTACTGTTATAGGTGTGGTTGTAAATTCCGCATAGTGCATTCTCTCATATAGTCATTACAGCAACCCCAGGAGGTGAGTTTTGTGATGATCCTCATTTTGCAGATGAGAAACCATGGCACATAACGATTAGGTGACTTACCCAGAGTCACTTATTTAACAAGTGGCAGAGTTGAGACTCATTCAGTCTAATACAAAAACCAGTGTTCTTAATCCCTATTCTGTACTACTCAGAGCATGCTTTGAAAAATATCGAATAAGCCTGGTGGTGTGGCTCAGTTCATTGGGGTGTCATCCTGTACACTGAAATGGTTGTGGGTTCGATTTCCAGGCAGGGCACATACCCAGGTTGCAGGTTCAATCCCTGGTCAGGGCGAGTACGGGAGGCAACTGATCAATGTCTCTCTCATATGTTTCTCTCTCTCCCCCTTCCTCTCTCTAAAAGAAAAAAATCAATTAAAAAAATCAAACACTACATAGATATATTAGCACATTTCGCTTTCCTAAAATGAGCAGAGTTCTACAGCAATGCCTGATCAGAGAGAGCAATGTGGTCTTCAGGTGGGAATAAGTTTGTGTAATTTTGAAGTGCCTTTCAACCAGAAATATATCAGTTTGTTTAACAGAGAAAACACAAAATTATAACTGTGTTCTTTATTAATAATTTTTTATCTTATAAGGATGAAATTGTTTTATTTCTGAGAAATTTCCAGATGCCATGTACCCAGAACCTATACTATTAGGCCATTGTTAAAGCTGATTATTTTAAGAGAACACTGACCTTTTCTAAGTGGTGAAAAATATGAATTATTTGGTATAAATGATAATAGTACACTAAGTAAAATACTTTCTTCACATGATGTAACTGTTCATTTTTAAAAAAATTTTTTTGCTTGTTTTTCCTTTATTTTTATTTTTTTCCATCACCATTTATCCCCCTTATACCCTTTCCCACCTCTATCCACCCCACTCCCTCCCCTGCAATGTTAATTTTAATAATTTTACCTACGTACATTATATTATCTTTGTTATGCAACAGGGTTGTTATTTTTTTCTCTATTTTATGATTTAAAATTTTTTTAAACTTATAAAAATTGGATAAAAAGATGACGGTCATTTTGGTGGCAAAGACTTGTGAATGACTTCCTTTACATGGATGTCTTTGAGTTTTCAATTTTCCTTAAACAAAACAAGATAATTATACATAGCCATCTCAGATTACTACAATTTGGAGAAATATTTGTAGCAATGCAGTGAATCGTCTGTTCAGTAGATGATACCATGTGTTGTTTTTGGTCCTTTTAGGCATGAAGAATGTTAAATAGAAACATCTTTATATGTGCGACAAGCAAGTAGTTTTAAATACAAACTTCAAGATCTAGTTATGAAATACATGATTAAGATAGGATTATTTGACAGGTTAATAGGAATTCTGTTGCCATAGTATAGGTTTAAATTTTTAAAACAATTGTAAAAATGTTAATAAGAAATTGCTCGAGAAAAAACATTATTAGTGGGCAACCTCTCCCAACTCCCTTCAACTACTCCGTTTGCCATTCCCTATCTTGGTCTACAAAAATCAGAGAAGTTACCCTTGTATAAAGAAATTCTCTTTAAAAAGTGACCATGTTACAATTAAGGATCACTCAAGAAAGTCTGATCCATCAGTAGGAAACAATCTCATAGCCAGTCCAATATTTTAATTTGCTGAAGGCATGGATTTCTTGAGACATTTAATAAATGTTCAAGAAGCTTTACTTCCTCATTAGACAAAACTTTTTAAACGATATTTATTTCATTTCTGGCATTCCACCGGAGGTGATGTACACCAACTGCTTAAAGATTGTGTGTGTGAATGTCTGTATGTGTTTAGAAACAAAGAGCCACACTGAAATTACAAAGTGATTAAAATAGAATTTAGTAACCCAAATTGGAATTTGGCTGGAATTCCCAAGGGGTTATATTTCTCCCTATTCTTGGACAGCATGCTTTTTAACAAAGTGCAGATGCTTACACTTGGCCAATGATGAATAGACTCACAGCATGAGAAACAGAGGAAAGAGTATTATCCCAAATGTTTACACAGGGTGTTAAATTAAACTGCTAAGGTAAGAAGTTCAATGCTTTACATATTTAGTAAACTATGCATGTTATTTTATTTGCAACCCCATGTGTTAAGATGGGACACTGTTAAATTAACAATCACTTAAAAAGCAACAACCAACAAACCAGTATTTAATTTGGTACTTAAAATTAATAATTAAAAATCAAATGGAAGCAATGTCTAAAGTAACTAAGATAATTCACAATAAAAACCATCATTCAGGCTCTGCTTATGGAAATATGATAATTTGAAATCGGCTAACCTAAAATGTACCCTTAGAAATAGAATGAGGGTTAAGTTAGCAAAGTGTTAAATAAGATTTCAGGGAGCCACAAAAATTACTTATAAGAACTTCAGAACTGATTATATATAAAAAATATTAACTAAGTTTAAGTTCATTCATAGGTGACCTTATTTGAAGCGGTGTGTTTGCACTCACTAGTAAAATTCAAGTCACTAAGGTATTTTTGAAGTATTTTATTTCCCAGATATTTCATTTCTTTGAATTAGTTGTTCAGTGACTAGTCTGAATTTCTATGAAGACCTAATGAAGATGTGTTTCTGGAAAGAAGGCAATTTTCTACAATCTGAAAACAAATGACTAGAAAACAAATCTTTGGTTTTTAGGAAAAGTGGCAGGGAGGATTTTGCAAAAAGAAATACTCAAGAACCAAAGCAATGGAAAGGCTCTTAGTAAGCAATGGGAAACTCCAAACCCCACCAAGGTCAATAGAGTACCTAAGGCACCTCAGGTCTGGATGATACAATCATCTTTGCTTAAAGTTCTAATAATCTATGCACAGGATTGTTCCATCTTAAGAATGTGAAGCTGAAAATAAAAATAATGTGAAGCTGAAAAGGTAATGGCCAACCGTTGTTAATTGTGAAGAAGAGAATCATAAGAGTTGATAAAAGTGATTGACATTGGAGACCACCTGTTCTACGTCCGTATTTATAGATGAGGAAACTGAGGCCCGTTCATGAAACAGGTGATGACAGAACTGTGTTTCCAGGTTCCTAAGTCTGTTTCTCTTAGGGCAGGACAAATTCTAGATTTTAACTTTCATTGGCTAGTAAAACAAAACCAAGTGTGAGGAGTTCAGGGATGTGAGTTTGAGAAAAAGTAAATTCCTATCAAATCCCCAAAGACAGGTTGGAAATGCATAATACCTTACTGTCTTAATTCCTTTATACCATGTGTTGGACAACTTAGCTAATATACTAATTGATTTATACAATTCCTTTCAGCTCTATCTAAAACCAGCAAACCAAAAGTAAATGAGAACATTACATGAGATTCCTTTTAAGCATACATAAGGCCATGGTACTTAATATGAACTACCGCTTCATGGGAGAAAGAAGACATCCACTGTCCAGTTCTGAGAGAAAGCTCCTGACTAGTTACCCAGTAGACTCTCTACTCTTCAGTGTGGAAGATGATGCTTATGTTTTTAAATCTCTACAAAGCTCACAGACAAGCCAGTGCATCCTAGATTTGTGACTGATATGAGTATTTAAGGCTGTCATTTTCAAGTATAAAAGTTTAATGTTCCATTAACCAATCTATGCAGTAGACATAGCTATAAGCTCAAGTCATGGAAATTAACAGGAGCCTACCAAAGACAAAATCATAATTTTGGCAACAGCAAATTTAAATGTAGAAAAGGGTGGGTGGGTGGGGCCGGGGGGGGGTGGGGTGGAGAATGCATGGATGAGATTATGCCTTTCTGAACCGCATTGGTTTGTTCACACTGAAACTGTCTAACTCTGTTGTCTGTTGCATGGTATGTGGAATAAGGCAGATCCACAGCAGAAACTTAAATAGGTAACAGATGGTAATAAAACGGTTCACCTCTAACACAGTTCTATAGCCTGTTCCCCCAGAGAAAGGTTAGAAGTGGTTCAAGTATGCCAAATAAGCTTCACAGATAACATGAAGTTTTTAAAAACAGGGCCTTCACCTAGGGACCAACATGCACTGTTTGTAGATGGAATAAATGAACATTATTTACTTCTGGCTTGGTGTAATATTGTGAAATGTAATGTGGCTGGAACAGAATGGGTGTCTGGAAGCTGGTATTTTGTTTAACTTACACTCTGGGCGTTTGACTTAAGTTGTAGTTCTGTAACTTCTACTAGGGTTCCAATATCTATCTGAAAGGTAACATCAGTTTTATAATGGAAGCAATTGCTTTGTTATAAATTGCATGTAACATGCTTATAATTCTAGGTCATTTCACCTTAACACAATTTAAAGTTTCGTATGGTTTGGTCATCATACACACTTCTCATTTCATTTGATATACAAGCCAATTTGGAAATTCACAAACAAAATTACCAACTTCAGAGAGCTAAATTGAGTCCAAGATTATGGCAAAGTCTGACCCAAAATTTTAATTTGTAAGTTTAGCATGTGTCTCATGCAGTTTGGGAGCATCAAACTAAATCTACAGTCGCCAGAAGCCTTGTTACAGTTGAATGCACATTAACTAAAACGTGTACATTTTTTAGTGTTCGTGATAAATGCAGTTATGACCTTATTACACTTTTGGCATTCTTTAAGAAAGCACATTAAGCTTTAATATAGAAATATTTAGGTTACACTTAACTTGTGCTCAAGTAATAATAAAACATTTGTTCTCTTTGATCTCATACATTCTCTCCTCAGGTGTGGCCCATCTCCTGCACGCTCGGAGCAACCTTTGGCTATGTGGCTGGCCTCATTATTTCACCGCTCTGGATATACTGGAACAGAAAGCAGCTTACATACAAGAACAATTAAGTGGAACAAAGGAAGATTTTTTTTGTGTGCAGATTCCATAAAGACTGTGCAGAAATGTATATGGTCTAAGCCAGGCAGTCCCATTTACAGCACTGTTTTTTATGTAGTTACATGATGTGATTGTAGCTTTTTAAACTATGAAACCCCTGAGAGATTGTACCTTCTAGTTGAAATAAAGTATTTATAATAGATTGTGGCTTCAGATGCTGTTTGCTGCTTCTTGGACCTTTTAGAAACATTCTTAATGAACTTTATAGAATTCTGAGGACAGGGTTGTTTCTCATTCAAGTTTTAAACTGCTTCAGTATTTATAAGAGGTCTGGGTAGAGCTGTAGCATTTCATATGCTTTCTTAGAGAGAAATGGACAGTTTCGTTGGCCACTGAAGATGTTTTCACGTAATCAAACAACAGTTTATACATCTTGATCCTATTCTTTTTTTTACTGTATGTTTCTTTGGAGTTAAAATGGCTATGATAGCCTCATCAAAAACAGTCTTCAATCCCTTCTGGGTTAAAGCTGAACATTCCACATAGCAGCACGCTCCTATCTGGGAGGGAGAAAAAGAACAAACACAAATACATAAAATCTTTTTCCACAACTGGTATGACACAGACACCATTATAAGGAACATTAAAAATATACTATAGTAGCTATGCAAAAAGAATGAAATCAAAATACTCAGAGATAGCTAACTGTTAAGTTACTAGTACTGTATATATCCTTCCAGACATTTTGGGAATAATTCATCAAACATTTACTGAGTACCTACCCTATGCCAAGCACTGCTTTAGGTGCTGGGGATACTGTCAGTGAACTAAACAATTGAGCCAGGTCCCTGCTGTGTGATGCTTACATTTGCTTAAGTTCTGGGGGAATATTTAGGTTACACTTAAATAGGGATGGTGGCACATGCTCTAGAGAAAAAGATAGCAGAGTGAGGAAGATGGGGAGAGCAGAGGGCGGTGGTGGTGGTCGGAAAGCTCTACAAGGTGACATTTGAGCAGTGAGGGATAACTAGAGGAAGCATATCTAGGCAGATGGAGCCCAGGTGCAAAGGCCCTGATGGAGGAGCTTGCTTGGAGCGATCCAGGAACGCTAAAGAAGCCACAGTGGCAGGAGCGAGTGAGTGCGGGTCAGGGCAGGGTGGTGGATGGCAAGAGATGAGGTCAGTGAGGTGGCCTTGAGGCCACTCTAAAGACCTTGGCTTCTACATTGGGGGAAACCATTCATTCATTGAAAATGTAATGAGCACTTTTATTTGCCAAATGAGAGAATATAGTAAAGAATAAAAAAGTCTCTACTGGTGAAGCTTCCATTTTAGAGGGAGAAGACCATGAACTAATAAATACAGAGTAGAATGTCATAGGGTATTATGTGTTCTGCAGAAAAATGGAGAAGCGAGATAGGTAAGGAGTAGGGATGAAATCAAGGCAAGGTCTCATTGACAAAGTGAGCAGAGATCTGAAAGGAGAAAGAATAAAAAATGTTCCAGAGGGAAGAACATTCCAGGCAGAGGGAGCAGCAAAATTCCAAACCTGAGGCAGAAGGGAACAGCAAGGAGCTCACGTGCCTGAGTATGCAGAGAGGTACCAGGGGCCACAGTGAGGACTCTGGCCTTGACTTCATGAGCTGGGAGCCCCTGGTGGATCCTGAGCAGAGCAGTGATCTGATGGGGCTTATATTTAAGACTCGCTCGGGATATTGTGTTGAGCACAGGTTAACACAGGACACAGAGAGAAATGGAAAGGTGAGTTAGAAACGCACAGTAATCAGGCTAGATATGGAGGGGCCCGAACCTGACTGATAGAAGAGGCAGAGCATTTGGATTCTAGATATATTATGAAGGTAGAGCATTATGTAAGAACAACAAGGTCAAGTGTGAGTTCAAGGATTTTGACCTGAGTAACTGGGAGGACAGGCTTGGAGGGTAAAATTAGGAATTGTTTTGGACATGTTAATTTTGAGATGCTTAGCCATCAAGATGGACTTGTAGGGTGAATGGCTGGATAAGCAAGTCTAGAGTTTAGGGAAGAGTTTCAGGCTGGAGATAGCAATTTGGGGGTCTTCAATAGAAGATTGTTCAAACTACAAGACTGATAGAAGCTCACCTAAGCCTGGAGAATGAATGTGGGTATAGAAGAAAAAATGTCCAAGAAGTTGAATGCTGATCCCTGGGCCCTCCATCATTCTGAGACAGGGAGATAAAGGGATAGAGGAAAGGCCGACAAGCGGGGAGAAAAACCAAAGAGAGAGCATTCGAGGAAGCCAAGTGAAAGTATTTCATGAAGGAATCCACTGTGCCAAATCCTGAGAGGCCTAAAAATGGGATCATATTGTTTTGCAACCACTTTTTTTTTCTTAAAATACATAATAAATTTGAACATCTCAATGGATATATTAGTATAAATTTTTAATAGATGCGGGTTTTTTTTTTTGCCTTTATAAACAATGCAGCAACTTTGTAGCCATCTCTTTAAGAACATCCAAATAATTTTCTTAGGATAAATTCCAACATATGGAATTGCTTGAACAAGAGTGTGCATGACTTTAAGGCTTTTGCATATCATCAAGACTGTTTTTACTCAATGACCAACAGTACAATAGAGTGCTCATTTCCTTGCACCCATGGAAGAGGGGTTATTGTAATTCATTTCTCAATTTTTAGGCCAACTTTATAGGTGAAAATTGAACTTACATTTGACTACTAAGGAGTTTTAACATATTTTCTATCTTCAATGGCAATTTGCATTTTTTGGTGAATTTTCTATTGATGTTCTTAGCTCGATTTTCTATTGGGCATATAATTCTTTGTCTGATTAATTCATATGCAAGGGGTTCCTGTGTACTAAGCATATTAATTTATTTTTCTGCCATACGTGTCAAGTTTGTTATATGACTTTTAATTTTATTCCTGGCATTTGATGTATTACATTTTTATGTAGTTAAATCATCAATATTTTCATTTATGACTTTGTGTCATTTAGAAATTCCTTCTCTCCCCAAGATTACAAAATGAATATATGAAATTCTAAAGTGATTTGTTAGTGAAGCTATTTATCTTTTGCTGTAGGAAAAGTTGTCCTCCCAAAACTTTTCCTGCTTTCTTTTGCCTCCTGATAGTACATTTTAAAGGAGCTTATTAGAATCTGTTTCCACCAAAGTCCTATTAAAGTCACATCGAAAAAATAGAATCCAATAATGTTTGGGCCCAATAGAGAAAAAAGTAAGCCTAGCTTTGGGATGAGGAAAAATACAAGTTAAAAGATATTATGTGCATCAGAGTTAGATCTTTTTTAGAATGCTACTATTTCACATCTTTCATAAAAAGATTGGAAGAAAACTCAACTCATTTATTTCAAACCTAGCCATCATTTTTGTTTTTACCTGCAGATTTAATCTGTCGCCCAATGCCACTCCACTACCTACTCCATGAGTGTTAACTGATGACAGAGCCTGATCTGGCGCAGTACCAATATTTAAGTGATTAAGAAGGGCTGAAAGATCAGCACCTTCTTATGATGCCTCTATCTACACATGACTTATTAAGAAAATATTGTTGGTGGTATAAGAGACTGGCTCTGGAGTCAGGCCTTGACTGAAACCTAGCTCTGCCATTATTACCTGCGGGACCTTGCAAGTTACCTGACATCGCCACACCTCCGTTTTCTGTTCTATAAAATAGGGAGCTCATCAGACCTACCTCGGAGTCAGTGCAAGGATTAAATGAGATAATGCATGGAAAGCGCTCAGCACAGTGCCCGACATACAGTAAGTGCACAATAAATGTCAGCTTCTAGTATTACTTTAGCTGTTTTTACACTTATTTGTAAATTCTGTAAAGGTTCCATTACCTCTTTTGCTAGTTTCTGTCCTTGTTCCACACATATAGGCTTTTCTTTCATATCATTCAGTCTTGCTAAAGTTTTGGGGTCATCACGGAGATCAATCTAATGAAGAAAGGTCAATAATATCCCATAATAATTACAAGTCTTTAAAGATGAATCAAAGCATGGAGCCCCACTTAATTCCCACATACCAGTAAAAGATTAAACAAAGGATCTTAACTTTTTAAACCAACTAAGATAATTGCTTTCTTTCAGCACTGTATTTTCAAAAACTGTGATAGATTTTCTTATAACTTACAACTGAGCTTAAACACACATATTATTTGCTAAACCTCAGGACCATTGGTCTGAGAGCAACACCACAAGATAGACCAGAGAGAGTTTTCTTAAAACGGTAAGATCAAAGCAGACATACCTGAGTTCCTATTAATAAGAAGGGTACATTTGGTGCGTATTCCTTAAGTTCTGGTACCCATTCCTCTTTCACATTTTGAAATGAGGCTGGATTCACCACAGAGAAGCATATAAGGAAGACATCAGTCATTGGATAAGATAAAGGCCGCAGACGATCATAGTCTTCCTAAGGAAGGAAGAAAAACCTAATTATTTCTACTTCTTTAATTTACTCTAATATGTCCATTACATTAACATGGTCAAAGACACATGTTAGGACTATTCCACAAGTGAAATGTATGGCACGCTACATAAAACAGGATAATGCCCACTTGTTTTTGTTATTTCTCCTTTTGAAGTTCTGAACACCAGTGGGGTAAAAATATGACAAGATCATTGACAACTACAATGAAACTTGGAGAAAATATATTGCGATTACTAAAGCTATCACTGGAAACATTTTTCACTGAAAAGTCTGCATGAAGAATTGATTATAGCTAGATGTAGTATAAGTGTTACCATTTATAATAACTAACATGTACTGAAAGTTTACTGTGTCAGGGACTGAGCCGTATGCTCTCCCAAGTATTACTTATTAAAGCGCCCTAACAACTATGATAACATAGGTACCATTATCCCTGTTGAGAAAATTGGGGCACAGGAGTTAAATAACTTGGGTGGGGATGTATAAGCCAATAAGTAAAAGAGATGGGATTTAAACCCTGGCAATTTTACTCCAGAGCCTATGCCTTACCCACCATACATTTTTTTTGAAATCTTAAATCTTTGCTTTCCCTATTAATATAGGTTTTTTAAGTGTGTGTGTGTGCGTGTGTGTGTTATGTGAACATTTAAAGATAGAAACATATAGAGGAAATTCACACAAAAACCCTTTCCTCTCCAATTTCCATTCCCTTCCTGAAATGGAGATGTTTTCATGTGTATCTTTTC